TTTACATTGTCACTGCACAGTTCACCGAAAAACTAGTGGAAGACAAAATGGTTTTTCTTTTAAACTCTTGAAATCCGAAATATGAAAACTTTTGAAACTTGTGTTAACTTATAAGGTTAGCACAATATTTATGGGGGTTCTCAAAGTAAAACAATCCTTCTAGAACTGTAATATTGTATTTCAATCGATTATAAATTCGTAATAATATATTCGTATTTTAATTGAATATAAATTTATAAATAATGTATTTATATTTAATCAAATATAGATTTATAAATAATATATTTCTATTTAATCAAATATAGATTTATAAATAATATATTTCTATTTTCGGTAAATTACACCGTTCCTCATTGAACTTTAATCTTTCTCCTATTTTGTTCACCGTACTTTCAATTTATCTTAAGATTGTTAAAAAATTGTTAATCCGATAAAAAAATTAATGATAATAATATGAAAATATCATTATAAAATCAATTATAAAGTACGAGGTTACATTGTCATTGCACAGTTCACCGAAAAACTAGTGGAAGACAAAATGATTTTTCTTTTAAACTCTTGAAATCCGAAATATGAAAACTTGTGAAACTTGTGTTAACCTATAAGGTTAGCACAATATTTATAGGGGTTCTCAAAGTAAAACAATCCTTCTAGAAATATTGTATTTCAATCAATTATAAATTCGTAATAATATATTCGTATTTTAATTTAATATAAATTTATAAATAATATATTTATATTTAATCAAATATAGATTTATAAATAATATATTTCTATTTAATCAAATATAGATTTATAAATAATATATTTCTATTTTCTGTAAATTACACCGTACCTCATTGAACTTTAATCTTTCTCCTATTTTGTTCACCGTACTTTCAATTTTTCTATTTTGTTTACTGAAATTTACAGATTGAATCATTTTGTTCACTCTGTCATTAACTCTCTAACGTTGCGATGATGTGTCATTTTTATTATATTTTAATACTAAATAATTGAAAATATAAAGGGTAAGTTACATCGGTCCTCACTAAACTTTACTCTCTCCCCTATTTTGCTCACCCAACTATAAAATAAAAACAGATGGTGACCAAACGGTGGCCGTCGACTGCTGTAGATGGTGACCGTTTGGTCCCAAATTTCATGGGTTGCTTCGCCTCGACACCTTGAGTCCGAATTCGACATTCATTTTTTTGAAACTTGATGCGAAGTCCACGAATTGAACATTGAAAGTGATTGTTTCAGTCGAGATTCACAGATTTTGAGACATTTTTCGGTGAAAAACCACCAGATTCGGAATCAGGGGTCAAGACGAACTAACTCATGAATTTTGGGACCGAACGACCACCATCAACGACGATCGACGGTGGCCGAAATAAAAAAAAATGATGTGGTGGTCGGCGGCGACAATTGGGGGAAAGAAAAGGATTCGAAACGACGTCCTTTTGGTGTATATTTGATTTTTTTAGAAAATGACGTTGTTTTGATTCTTGTGCCATGACATAATACCGTTAAAAAGATAACGACATATTGATTAAAATGATTCAATTTGTAAAGTTCAATGAGCAAAATAGAAAAATTAAAAGTACGATGAGAAAACTAGGAGAAAGAGTAAAGTTTAGTGTGTAACAGTGTAATTTACCATTATATTTCAATCGAATATAAATTCATAAATAATATATTTGAATTTTAAAGAATTCACATAATATCTTTTTAGTTCGGAATATTCAAATAGATAAGTCATATTTAAGGATATTTCAATTATCAAATTCATCAATGAATTCAACATATTTTTCCAACATTTGATTCTCATTTTAACTTAAGATGAAGTACATAAATGACATCTAATTATATGATATTGCTTTGTTGAATCCCCAATTATCAAAAGTTATAAAATTATCCTACAATTATAAGCTATTGCATTGTTGAGTTTCTCGACTATTAAAAATTATAAAATGCTTACTTGATTATTTATATGTTCTAAAAACTTATGATAAAAATCTAATTCTAGAATCTCAAACGACTATCATATCTCAGTCAACATACATGTTAACGTCCAATTCAGACGACTATCAATCTTCTAACAAAAGAGGGTGATTTTAAAACACATAAATAGTCAAGTGATTATTTTATAACTTTCAATAATCGAGAATTCAACAAAATAACACCCTATAATCAGAAGACTATTTTATAACTTTTAATAGCCAAGAAACTTAACAATATAAATCCTTATAGTCGGAAGATCATTTACGTAATTATACCCTACAATCGGAGGATCATTTATGTATTTCACCCTTTAATTTAAGGATTGGATAATAACAATGTGCACAGTCTACACAATATAACAATAATCAACGGTGGCAATAAACAAATACAAGTTATATATAACTAATTGTATCTTCGCCCCACGTTAAGCAAAAACGAATATTCCACACCTGAAGAGCTAGCTACTTTCGATCCTCTGTCTCCTTTTGAAATTTTTGTTACTCTTCGACATTTGAGTTTGAATTTGCTGTGTGGTAATCTTCGCTTAAACTGCTTCAATCGCAAGTTTCTTGCTAGTACCAGGACACAAGTCCTTATTGAAGTTCTCTTCTGTTAGTACTATGGCACACTCGTTTTTACCCAGGCAGACCTGCGAAGAGAATCAGTGTTATAATTAGCTGATATGTATTAACCTTAAATGGATATATGCTTGGTTCATAATCATGTAGATATGGTGCCTATGATCGTGGCTTAGTTTTTCGAACATCCTTAATCCAACTACTAGTTCCTTGGCTTCAGATTGTGCGGCCAACTTTTGTAATATTTAGCAAATTCTTGGCTATGGTTGATTCCTTGGAAGTAATTGTTGGCATTAGACAAATATTTCAAGCTTGGGACCAATTTAAAAATACTATGAAGGGAGGTCATCCTAAACAGTTTTGGAAGCAAATCTATTCACTAAATGATCAAAACTTTCAATTACCGACTATTATCCCCACAAATTCCATTGCAACCTTCAGTGCAGCATTACCAAAACTTTGACAATCAAATAAAATAGTGAAAATCGCCTCAGTGACCAAAAATGCCTTATAATATACGATTTTAACCAATTTTTTCCGGATTTGCCAAAATGACCAACAAAATCGCAATGCGATCGCTAATTCGCAACGCGATGGTCTACAGTGTCGTTGCGATTTTCCCAATTCGCAATGCGAATAAGTAAATCGCAACGCGAATTGGGAAAATCGCAATGCGATACTGACTATCGCAATGCGATACTTACTATCGCAATGCGAGAGTCCCCTCCCACCGTTCAAGAGGCCACTGTCATCCCTCAAGAGTCCACTCCTATCGTTGAAGAGTCCCCTATCATTCCTCGAGAGTCCCCTCCCACCGTTCAAGAGGCCACTGTCATCGTTGAAGAGGTCCCTCCCACCATTCAAGAGCCCGATTCACATGGCGTCATATGTAGGATTCTTGAGAAACCCTCTGACGTGCCGGACATGATGGATTCAAGTTGGCTCTCGTATGAGTTACCGGCCAGTACCATACCGGTATCTGAAGTGGAGAGGAAACAACTACCAGACACAATTCTGGATAACACCCTTTGGGCTAAGACCGCAGTTGATTTTTATCTACATGAGCGAAGCCAGGGGTGTTTCACTGACATATGCAAGCTCAATGATGATATCTATTTGTTGCTTGATCGGTCTTGGTGGGGCGTATTATTAGGGGTCAAAGACAATGGCTATTTCGATGGAGGGGTAAGTCTTATATTTTTCTTATATTTTAATTTGATTATTTTTTTGTAAATTTATGTAAGTTACTAATATATGTCTTTTTTTGTAAAACAGTATATCGATGCGTGGGTGTCACGTCTTCTAATAATTAGGAAACTTAAGGAAAATAAAAGAAATACACGATATACAATTATGCCGACGTCTTTTAACGCCGTTCACTTGAAGAATCAACGAGATGAATCATTTGCGTTGGGCAATGGACAAGCTAAACTTTATCCTGCATGGTGGGAGGTCGATAAGGTTAGTGTTTATTTTAGATTGAGTTTAAAGGTATTCATAAAAATTAATGATAATAATATGAAAATATCATTATAAAATCAATTATAAAGTACGAGTTTACATTGTCACTGCACAGTTCACCGAAAAACTAGTGGAAGACAAAATGGTTTTTCTTTTAAACTCTTAAATCCGAAAAATATCATTATAAAATCAATTATACCCTACAATCGGAGGATCATTTGTGTATTTCACCCTTTAATTTAAGGATTAGATAATAACAATGTGCACAGTCTACACAATATAACAATAATCAACGGTGGCAATAAACAAATACAAGTTATATATAACTAATTGTATCTTCGCCCCACGTTAAGCAAAAACGAATATTCCACACCTGAAGAGCTAGGTACTTTCGATCCTCTGTCTCCTTTTGAAATTTTTGTTACTCTTCGACATTTGAGTTTGAATTTGCTGTGTGGTAATCTTCGCTTAAACTGCTTCAATCGCAAGTTTCTTGCTAGTACCAGGACACAAGTCCTTATTGAAGTTCTCTTCTGTTAGTACTATGGCACACTCGTTTTTACCCAGGCAGACCTGCGAAGAGAATCAGTGTTATAATTAGCTGATATGTATTAACCTTAAATGGATATATGCTTGGTTCATAATCATGTAGATATGGTGCCTATGATCGTGGTTTAGTTTTTCGAACATCCTTAATCCAACTACTAGTTCCTTGGCTTCAGATTGTGCGGCCAACTTTTGTAATATTTAGCAAATTCTTGGCTATGGTTGATTCCTTGGAAGTAATTGTTGGCATTAGACAAAAATTTCAAGCTTGGGACCAATTTAAAAATACTATGAAGGGAGGTCATCCTAAAAAGTTTTGGAAGCAAATCTATTCACTAAATGATCAAAACTTTCAATTACCGACTATTATCCCCACAAATTCCATTGCAACCTTCAGTGCAGCATTACCAAAACTTTGACAATAAAATAAAATATGAAGAGAGATTATTGCAGTTCAAACTCAATAAAGCAAAATGCCTTGTAGGTCCACTTAGTCATAGATAAATCCATTGTTCCATTGTTGATCCCCTCGATCTTGACACTTGTTAGCCTTGCTCCTACCCATTCATATAATCCTCCTGCATTCTAAAAACACGAATGGTCCGACTTTCAAAAGCTAATCATGAGGGAGCAAAAGACAAAGTTCAAGGTAATACAAAACTATACAATATCTGATAAGATAATAGAAGGAAATAGAATTTTCAAATATAAGTTACTTGCAGATGACTGCATATATAATAGATATAGCAATGTAAAGCTCAAGAACTGATGTGGGGTGAGGATAGATGAGAACCGCAAAATTGCACAATCGGTTCGAGAAGATTTAATGATCCAAAACACAGAACATACACACACAAAATAAAAAGAGGGAAGATACTAGTTTTTTTCATCCATTTGTTTTTATTTATATTTTTATTATAAATATTATTATAATTATTTTATTAATATTATATTATTATTATTAAATAATAAATAATTACAAACATTATTACATGCCCAAAATCGGAGCCCAATTACAATAGTGACCCAAACCCAATCTGGTACAGACCCAAACTCGGAGCCCAAATGTGTATCTCTAAACCCGGTTAGGGTTTACATCTCATCATCCAGCCACCGATGCCATCCACCGTTGGATCTTGCCAGATCCAACGGTCCAAAGTTCTCCAACAAGAAACCCTAGGGTTATGATACCCTAGAGACCACGCGGCGCCACCTCCACATCCACCATCTGCTGCCGACACTACCGCCGCACTGCCGCTTCACCAAAGCCACCATTAACTGCCACGATATAACACACGTTATGACCCTATGGTGAGTCACCACTGTTAGCTTCGGTGACTCACCTAGGGTCGCCCTTTGCGACCGGTCCGAGACAAGAATCGTAGTGGCCTATAAAGCCACCACCTAACCTACAAAAGAAAAAACACCAACAGACGGCGAGAACGAGGAACACGAGCAGCAAGCACTACCACAGCAACCAACAGTCACGAAGAACAACACCCAACAGCAGCCAAATAAAGAAGGAGAAGAGAAAATGAGACTTACCGAGGAAACTACAGTCACCAGAGACTCTATACGCCGCCGTAAAATCGAAAGGTCGAAGGTAAAGAGAGTTAGATCTACTTCGATTTAAAGGGTTTTAGGCTAAAAAAAGTTTGGATTCGGGTATAGAAAAATCAAGGCTTTGATTTGGGTATCTTTGTAAAATCCGGCCACCGTGGGAGGTGGTCGGCAGTGGTGACCAGTGCCGAAGCATGGTTGTCGGCCGGAGATGTTTTAGAGAGAAGGCAGAGAAAAAATTTCTCTCTCAGTTAGAGAGAGAAGAAGAAAGGAAAAAATGAGGCCATTTTAGGGTATTTATACCCCTTCCCAAACGATGCCATTTTGGGGAGGGGTGTATCTGTAATTTCAGAAAATGGGTAAATCATACGCGCCGCCATTAAAGTTTTGCAAACTTTTATTTTAGTCACTACAGTATGTTTTCGTGCATTTTAATTTTGTTTTGTAGTTTTGTTTTATTTATATTTTAGTCACTATTTAGTATTAATAAATATTTAGGGTAAAACAACATATTCAGTCTCTTATAGTTTTAATATTTTTTATTTTAATCCCATATTAATATTTATGGTTAATTTACAATGTTAATATTCTTACTTTATGATATTTCGAATTATTTACATTAATTTTTATATTTTGCAATTTAATCCTATAGCTTTTAATTCCTTTTATTTTGACTATTTAATTGCAATTTAATTTTATTTGTATCCTTTTAATTTCAATATGTTTAAATTAATACTTTGGTTATTATTTATTTTATTTTAGTCATATAAATATATATTTTATTAAATTATAATATTTATTTATTTATTTATTTATTTATTTATTTCTTTTCTATTAAATAAAAATCCTATTTATAAATTTAATTTTATTACTTTTATAAACATATTTTAAATATTTATTAAGAAAAGAGCTATCTTAAAGCAACTAGAAGTCCTTTTCTGATATTTTTAAATTACTAAATATCCTACTTTTATAAATTATATATATAGCAATTTAATTTATTTTAATTATTTTTAGAGAAATATTTTATTAATATTTATTTATTTATTTTATATTAAGAAAATGACTGCCTTAAAGCAACTAGAAGTTTTTTTTATGATATTTCTAAGTAAATAAATATCTTATTTATAAAAATATAAAAAATATATATTTATAAAAATTAATATATTTTCTTGGAATTATACTAATAAATTTGAAATCACAGGATTATAAATTAAATATATATTTGAATTTTTAATTTCCAGTAATAGAGACAATTTATAATTAATGAGTACCAATTTGAGAAAATAACCTCCGTGACCGAAAATGCCTTATAATATATGATTTTGACCAACTTTTTTCGATTTGCCAAAATGACCAACAAAATCGTAATGTGATCTCTAAATCGCAACGCGATCTCCAGTATCGCAAATCAGTTTCCAGATTCACAACGCGATTTTGACTATCGCATTGCGATTTTCCAAATTCGCGTTGCGATTTTAGAAAATCGCAATGCGAATATATAAATCGCAACGCGATAATACAAAAGCGCAACGCGATAATACAAAATCGCAACGCGATTCTGACTATCGCAACTCGATAATACAAAATCGCAACGCGATTCTGACTATCGCAACGCGATAATACAAAATCGCAACGCGATTTTCCAAATTTACGTTAGTCCAAATTCTTTGCGATAGTCGAAGTTCGCGTTGCGATTTTCCAAATTCGTTGCGATAATCGAAGTTCGCGTTGCGATTTTCCAAATTCGTTGCAATAATCCAAGTTCGTGTTGCGATTTTCCAAAATCGCAACGACTGGTGGTATTGCATTTGTTTCTTAAGAATTTTCTCTAAAAAGATAGTATTCGTGCGAACATGTCGAAGACACGTATTACCACGATCACGACCACGACCCGAGACGGGAGGGCGGCGGCGGCGGTGCGTGAGAGTCTCCCTTGTTCTCTTCGACTCAACAAGGAAATGGGAAATCCAAGCCTTAAATAGCCATTCCCAATAGTGTTTCCAATACTATGTGGGATTGAGCATTGCAAACACTTGGGAATCTTTTACACTATCGTAACACATTCTTTATTGTTTCAAACTAAGATCTTACAAATGGCTTGGGAATCTTTTACACTATCGCAACATATTCTTTATTGTTTCAAACTCCACGTGAATTTGGAATAGTTAAAATGTAAACTTATTTTCGATTTTTCACAATCGCAACACTTTTTCACTATCGCAACAACACGTTTTTCAAACTCTCGCAACACATTTTAACTATCGCAACACATTTTTCAAAATCGCGTTGCGAATCTTACAATCGCATTGCTAATCTGGATATTCGCGTTGCGAATTTGGAAATTGAGTTGAAAAATTAGAGTTCGCGTTGCGATTTTGTTGGTCATTTTGGCAAATCCAAAAAAAGTTGGTTAAAATCGTATATTATAAGGCATTTTCGATCACTGAGGTTATTTTCTCTACCAATTTTGGGCGTTATAGGGGTGTTAATCATTCCCTAAACGTAACCGACCACGAATCATTTCTTTACTAATTTTTTTTTGGTTATACGCAGATCAGATTATTTTTTAAATTATGTTTTCTTAAAACCTATTTTAAAAGATTGTTTTTAGGTATTTGACCTACCTAACTCAAAAAGGTCAATGGCGACTCCCAAAATATTTTTTAAAATCAAAATCATTTATTTATTCATTTTATTTTTCCCGTCAAGTAAGAATTCGTACCCGGGCAAAAACCGGTTACGACAGCTTGGCGGCTCCGCTGGGGATCAGTCAAGCTTTGAAATTAATTATAAATTGTCTCTATCAATTAGAAATTAAAACTTCATATTTATTTAATTTATAATTCTTTTCTTTCAAAATTTTTATTACTTATGATTTTCATAATATTTATTATATTTTTTTATTATTAATGTTTTTATTTTATTTTTAGATATTAAATTTCATTTTTATTTGTTTGTCAAAGGTTTGAATATTTCTCCTCACACACAACACTTGCATTACATAACATAAGCTTTATAATCAAGCTTGTCCCTTTTAAGTGAGAGTGAAAGCGACGTCTTCGTGAGAATTTATTATCCGTGTCAGACCCAGCAAGTAGCTTTCGGGGTTTATATGCTCTATGTCTTCGTGAGAATTTATTCTCCGTGTCAGGCATATAGAAATGTATCCCCTCGAATTGAACTCGATCCGCTTAAGTTTGTAATGGACTAGGATTGAGGGTTTGACAGCCCAAGGGGGCATCGACAAGGACAATTCAGGTACCTTTACTCTTAGAAATGAAACTCTGCATATAGTAAACTCTATAAACTCTTCCGATCTGAAACCATGCCGAAATTTTATCCAAAAATAGGTGTACACAAAGGATAAATGAATTCTAACTTTTTCCTTTTAATTTATTTATTTATTTCTCTACTGAATAAATTGCATGTGAATTTAGATTATAGTATGCTATGTAGAAAACATGTTTAAATAGAAATATTTGGGTAGACATTATTATTAAATTAAAATTTTCCTTCCTTATTATTTGAACTAATTCATTGCTTTTTATGTTTTTTATTTTTTGCTGTTTGCATGGCATCATACAAGATTAAAAATATTGATCTTCGAGTTAATCGTCTCATTGGAAAACCTTCATCTATGGATAAAAAGTGTTCAAATCAAATAGTTCCGAACTCAGAAGTAAGACAGTGGTCTGAGGACTTACAAAGACAAGGGGGAGACAGTCTGCAGGATGATTATGTACCCGATTTAGCAAGTTATGCTCCGGTTTCTCTAAAAAGAAATGATATGCAAGATTTGCGAGGCATTTGGGAGAGTTGGGATTCAAATAAAAAGTTGCAGTTCTATCAGTCTTACGAGGACATCTCATATTTGCTCTATGTTAAAGTTGATGATGAATTGCTTCGAGCCCTAATTCAATTATGGAATCCAGGGTATAATTGCTTTACTTTCAATAAAGAGGATTTGGTTCCTACTATTAAAGAGTATACAACTTTGCTACATATAGAAGGGCCTTTGGAGA